AACTTGAAGGAGCTGGAGCAGTTTTGCAAGAAGGAATGGGCAAACATGCAGCCAGCGAAAATTCAATTTGGTAGACGTTAACCAAAATTAACCCCTCCAGGCCGGCTCGCATCCCCAGCCTATCGCTCAGCAGACGCCCCCTTCCAATCATCCGTACCGACTACCCCAGCCGCATAAAAACGGAGAAACTCTCACTTCTCGACCTCTGAAGCCTTGCAACCATCTCTTTTACTGAAACACTGAACAGCTACCTCTGAAGCCTTGCAAGGAATCGTTTTCGTCTACTCACGCTACTCGTGCGCGTGGCCCGGCTGTTCTCAGTCTGGCTGCTTGCGGTCTGCCCTCCTCCGCGTCCCGGCACCTGCTGTGGTTCGCGTGTCTCCACTGCTCTCCTCCACTGCGGGCTCTTTCTGCGGGCTGCTCCGCGGGGCCCTCCGCGGGTTCTGTGCTGCTCGTTCCTCGTGGTCTGCTGCCGCCACATTGTCCCGTTGCTTTCCCCAAGTCTCCTGGCATGTGAGTGTGCTGACCGCGGACGGATTAATCCCTGAGTCTGGGCTGCAAGGTTGGTTTTTCGCCCTGTGCTTGGTCTGCAGGCTTCGTTTCCACATGTGTCTGAGCTAACTGAGGGGCAATGCATGTTAAATGGCGTCTATCTCTATCGGCTGAGGGATATAAGAGGAGCAATGTGATTAATTCAGATTCATGTTCTGCCACTGCAGTAAACCACGTGGAAAATAATTTGCAAGACTACCCCACTGTGCTCCAGACGGCACACACCAGAGCTCTTGCCACGGCGCCATCTTTACAGCATTAATCTCATTAATCGCAGGTCACTATGATAAATGATCGTAATAAATTCATCTATCTGCGGGAGGAAGGAGGGGCCATGCTTTTAAATAGCTAGGTCACTGGTATTAAATTAGGTAACTAAACTGCAGTGTTGCATTTTGAAAGTGCAGCGGAACGAAAAAGGGCCCAATGTGAATCTGCAATGGGTTTGAAGTGGTGTTGGAGCTAATGAACGCATGGAAAAGTGATCGTTCATGCGTATCTGCCATAACCATAGCAGCAAGATGGCTCCAGGGGACGTCTGTTATTCGCATGGGAATGTTTCGGATTCGGGTTGATTTATTTCCTCAGGCTGTTTAACAACCATGGGCATGGTTCTCTGACCGCCGCTGCTGCCGGTCCCTGCTGCCGTTCCTACTGATGCCTGATCCCGCTGATGCCTGTTCCTGCTGCCTGTTCCTGCTGCCGCCCCTGCTGCTGTCTGTCCCTGCTGCCTGCTCCTGCTGCAACTCCTACTACATTGCCGCTGCTGCTGTTCCTGCCGCTGCCGCTCCGCAGGCTCCCAGGCTGCACCCGTCTCTACGGCTCGGCTCTTCAGACACGTATGTAACCTGGCTCACGGAGACAAGCGGCGCACGCTGGCGTGACACGTCTGTTGTTGGTATGAATCGCATCGTGGTGCTGCTGCTCCTGCTAATGCTGCTCCTGCTGCTTCATACTGCTACTGCTGCTGTGCTGCTGCTGCCGCTGCTGCTTCATACTGCTACTGCTGCCGTGCTGCTGCTGCTTCATGTACTTTGACATCTCTCTTCACTTCGCATCTTTTACTGAACACTAAACAGCTACAACAATATTCTACTGCTGTGGCTTTGATACAGGATTATTGCTGTTATTGTCTACGGATGCTGCAGCTGCTGCTGCTGCTGCTGCTGCTTCATACTGCTACGGCTGCTGCTGCTGCTTCATACTGCTACTGCTGCTACTACTGCTGCTGCTGCTTCATTTACTTTGCCATTTCTCTTCACTGGCATCTCTTTTACTAAAACACTGAACAGCTACAACAACATTCTACTGCCGTGGCTTTGATACAGGATCATTGCTGTTATTATCTACGGACGCTGCGGCTGCTGCTGCTGCTACTGCTGCTGCTGCTTCATACGGCTACTGCTGCTGCTGCTGCTGCTCCATACTGCTACTGCGCTACTGCTACTGCTGCTGCTTCATACCGCTACTGCTGCTGCTGCTCATTTACTTGCCATCTCTTTTCACTTGCATCTCTTTTACTGAAACACTGGTCAGCTACGACAACATCCTACTGCTGTGGCTTGATTCAGGATTATTACTGTTAATCTCTAAGGATGCTGCTGCTGCTGCTGCCGCGGCTTGATACAGGTTATCGCTGTTATTATCTGAGGATACTGCTGCTGCTGCTACTGCTACTGCTGCAACCCACTCTCTCAGAAGCTTATCCTGCTCCTAATGGATGCTGCCCGGCTGAGTACGCCGCGCTGCGCTGGACTCGCACCTATGCTCCCAGGGTCGCGTCGGCGGTCATGCTTAATCTCTCTACCTAATCTTCTGATTCTATCAGATGCAGCTGGCCGAGTAGCTGCGCTGAGCCGTCAATCGGACTCCTAATCAAAGGCATCCATACCTGTATTCTTCACTTTCTGATCGCAGGCTCCCCATCGTGCTGCCCATCCTGCAGCGGCTCTGAGCGGCACTGAACTCCGGCTCATCTTCCAAGTACATGTCTGCCCTCCTCGCAGCATCTTCCCGCTCGCCTTCTATGGCTTCTCTGCATAAGCGTTCACTACTGCTCACTCAAACTTCATGCGTTCCGAGACACGGCTTTCCCGACCATCCTACTATCCCGATTATCTACTCTCCAACCCAAGATTCTAAGCGTAAGGGCGCCTGCAACATCAATGGCCCTCTCCGATATGTCTCTGCCCCTACAGGTCTCCGCCTCTACACGGACGTGCCCCTTCCGTGGGTTTTTTGGGGGGTTCTTCCAGGACCATTGGGTTGCCGGGCCATGGCCGCTACTTTCCACCGGAGCATCTCCTCTGCCCTACACGAGATATTCCCAGTGGTCGTGGCCTGCGCGCTGCGGAATCACACGTGGCAGAGAAAGAGGATCTCCGTCATGCGGATAATCTCGACGTAGTGGAAGCATTACACAAAGGTCGCTCTTTTTCACCCAACATAATGTCCCCTGACCCTTTCAACCTTCATCTCAAACATTCAAAGACCAAGGCGCCTGCAACATAATAATAGCTCGCCCCTACAGGTCCATGAGGCGTACACTCACCCCCGCTGCAAAAAGGAGATTTCAACGGACCCCTAATTCTCACTCCAGACAACCTTCCCATGACAGCAACCTGGTTCAGAGCTCAACTAAGATCCCTACTGCTCCTCTGCAATTTGTCTCCCCAGCTCTATACAGCCCACTCCTTCAGGATAGGCGCTGCCACGCGCGCGGCCTCGCTGGGGCTCCCCCACACCTCTCTGCAACAGCTGGGGCGCTGGTCCTCTTCGGCTTTCTCCGCCTACATCAGGCCAGACGCGTCCGCTATCCTGGCTGCACAACGTCTACTGACTTCCTCGTAAGCTCCCAGCAAAGCAATACGAAGCAAAGTAAGTGAAGCAATAAGATTCTGGTGGCGGCACGCACTTTCTCAAACACTCTCCGCTGCCGCAGCGTCTGACGGAACGTGATGCGAGCGCTCACGTTCCCAGCACGCAAAGATAACTCTGCCGCAGCGGCTGGTCGATCGTGATGCGAGCGCTCACGTCCCAGCACGCTAAAAAAAAAATAAAAAAAATAAAAAATAAAAAAAATAACTCCGCTGCAATGTCCGGCTGGTCACAGCATATAGCGATAGCGGTCACAGCATATAGCGATAGCGGTCACAGCATATAGCGATAGCGGTCACAGCATAGCAAAAAATGGTTAGCGGTCACAGCATATAGCGATAGCGGTCACAGCATATAGCAAAAAATGGTTAGCGGTCACAGCATATAGCAAAAAATGGTTAGCGGTCACAGCATATAGCAAAAAATGGTTAGCAGCATTGCGCTGGCGGTCACAGCATATAGCGATAGCGGTCATAGCATATAGCGATAGCGGTCACAGCATATAGCGATAGCAGTCACAGCATATAGCGATAGCGGTCACAGCATATAGCGATAGCGGTCACAGCATATAGCGATAGCGGTCACAGAATAGAGCAGTCACGACGTCTGTCCCCTCCAAACCAGGCTTCAAAAACTCCATCAACACGCAGCCTTTTTGGGGATTGTGCGCGCTCCATCGCAGGAGCCTTTCCGATCCGAAGGCCGCACCGGGACCTAGGGCGCCAAACCTCCTTTCAATAAAATACTCAACTTCCTGTTTCTCGTCTCTCCAAATTGAAATGCAGCCAGCGAAAATTCAAGTTGGTAGACGTTAACCAAAATTAACCCCTCCAGGCCGGCTCGCATCCCCAGCCTATCGCTCAGCAGACGCCCCCTTCCAATCATCCGTACCGACTACCCCAGCCGAATAAAAACGGAGAAACTCTCACTTCTCGACCTCTGAAGCCTTGCAACCACCGGCCTCCCCTCCTCCTCCTCTTCACCCTGCCTCCAATCTGCCTTCAATCTGCCACCCGCTGCCAAATGCCGCCACCAGTGCCTAGGTCCCGGGGGATTGTGCGCGCTCCATCGCAGGAGCCTTTCCGATCCGAAGGCCGCACCGGGACCTAGGGCGCCAAACCTCCTTTCAATAAAATACTCAACTTCCTGTTTCTCGTCTCTCCAAATTGAAATCCCAGTGGTAAGATGTGGCAAGCTCATAGAGACTTATCCAAAGCGACTTGGAGCTGTGATTGCCGCAAAAAGTGGCTCTACAAAGTATTGAGTTTAGGGGGGTGAATAGTTATGCACATTGAACTTTCTGTTATTTTGTCCTATTGTTTGCTTCACAATAAAAAAAAAGACATCTTCAAAATTGTGGACATGTTCTGTAAAATAACTGATGCAAATCCTCAAACAATCCATGTTAATTCCAGTTTGTGAGGCAACAAAACACACAAAATGGGGGTGTGAGCAAGGCACTGTACCATAACACAAAAACACAATAGACAAGAGTCAGAATCAGTGAGAACAGGAGGAGCGTCATTCAGGAACAGATCAGAGAAATCATTATTTAAATCTAAGGGAACATTTCAAATAGGAGAAGAACAGTGGAGCAGAGACCAACCTGCAGGAGACAAACACAGCATTACACATAAAGGTTAAATCAGCAAACAGGAGTGAAGCTATAGAGCAGGGGTGGCCAACCAGTCAGAGACTAAGAGCCAATATTTTTTACTGTGTTACAGCAAAGAGCCACATCATACAAATGTGCACTACATAAACATCACCCCAACCCTTACACACGCACGCACACGCGCACGTACTGTACGCACACGAGCAGACACGCGCACACACATGCAATCTGTCTGAGCAGAGAGAGGTGTGCTCTGCTCAGACAGATTTATTGTAAATGTCATCAACATGATAATGACAGAAATTGACTCGTACAGCACTAAAGGGCTGGACTCGACTCTCCCCGGTTTGCAGGCGCTTCCACCGCTCGCTTTAGCCGCTCCCCGGTACTTTTTATTAATGGTTTGGCCCTGGTTCTAACCGGGCGAGTCGATACCAGAACAATTTCACGTCAGCGAACATCAATTATGATTCCGAAATGAATGCTTTCAATTTCTAACCAAGAAAAAAAAATCAAGTTTCAACCCAGTGTTCAGCAGAAACACAACTGTCTTTAGTAAAAGATATAGATTTGACACATAACACCAACACCACTTTAGCTGATTTAGAACCACAGACACATGCTCAGTATAAGACCAGATACTTTTGCATTTGATTGAAGACAGACACTCACCAGGCAGAGTTGGCTTATCTCCTGGTGTAATGCTAGTTGTTGTTAGCTGGTTTTAGCATGTTAGCCGGTGTTAGCCGATGTCCGTAAATGTAATCCATTTGGTCAAACCACCTCCGGACTTTTCGGGTCTGCCTCTACTTCTGCTGCTGCGATCTTTCATTTCACGGTTGTCACTTTTAAGCTTTTTAACTTTTCTCTGCATTGTCATGTTTGTGGGAATCATTCTGCTCCGTCCTTAGTGCTAGCTCCACAAACACCTTCTGGTTTCTGGTGGAACCAGCGAGATCAGGCTGGTGTCCTCTCCTCAAACTGAGGAAGGTGTTGCCCTCATCCAGCGACCAAGGAATTGTTTTCCGTACGGACGTCATGGTTCGAGGCAACGTGTTGTTTGTTATGATATTTGCTACAGCTGCAGAGTGATTGACAGCGCATCTGACCAACCAGAATTGACGTTCGCCGACGTCAGATTGTTTTGGTGGCCTGGCTAGTGGAGTGAAGTCGGTCTTTACTATTGGTCAGAACTACATATGGAATGAAAGGCAGCGCCACCACCGAGGCGTTTTTGACGCTTGTCGAGTGAAAGCCCGAGAGCCGCACGGAACCAGCCAAAGAGCCGCATGCGGCTCACGAGCCGCGGGTTGGCCACCCCTGCTATAGAGAGAGAGGACTTGAGGGAGAGAGAGAAAACTTCAGGGAGAGTAGTTCAGTGAACAAGAGAGAGGGCTTCAAGGAGAGATTGAGGACTTCAGGGAGGAGGATGATGTCACTACAGACATCTTTGCCCACTAAAAATATCCATCCATCTGTACCTCTGAATCTGGGGTCCATGTGATAACTGAGCCTCCGCCCATCCAGACAGTACACACCTGGAGTTACACACACAAGTCTTTACAACCACACAAAAATGAAATCATAACTAGTGGGTTAGCATTGTATCTGTATACAGTATACAGATACAATGCTAACCCACTAGCTCAGTCAAGCTTGGCTCCACCTTGCTCTGGCTTCTATTGACTTAGCTACATAGATAGATTGATACTTTATTGATCCCCATAGGAGAAATTCAGGTGTCCAGTAGCAGCAAAAATAAAAAAATACAATTCTAAAAAGTTAACAATAGTAATAATCAGCAACAGCCCTTCAGGTCACAGCAGAAGAGGTGGTGTATCCTCTTGGTGGAGCAGGACGGCTCACGGAAGAAGAGATGGAGTAGCCTTTGGGTAGAGCAGGACGGGTCACAGTAGCATCGGTGGAGTGGCCTCTGGGTGGAGCAGGATGAGTCACAGCAGCAGAGGTGAAGTAACCGCTGGGTGGAGCAAGACAGGTCACAAGGTGGAGTAGCCGCTTGGTTCGGACCATTTTCTCTGCTCTAGTCCAAAATAAAATGCTAAATGCTTCATTAGCCTTTTTCAAAAAGTTAGCATTCCCCAGTGGCTTTTCACCTGATCCGCTTGGTTCGGACCATGAATCCTCTCCGCTCCGGTTTGGACCAGTGGAAAACCAAGAACACTGTACTGCACCAACATAAAAAAGCAATAAAAATAAAAATTCTAAAGCACAAAACAACAACTGTTTCAGAGCTACTTAGGACTTGCAGCCGTTTTCCAGCGCATTCAAAAGTATGTACATGTAAAAGTAAACTCCTGTTGCTCAGTAACCGTTTGTGTCACACATGCTACTTTGAGTTTGAAAATATGTAGTTTAGCGCAGTCTCTGTTCCTGGTGTTTACATTGTGATATTGTCTTTGAAAATCCAGAAATGAGCCACATAAGGATCGACAAATTAGCTTCTTCTGCATTAACGCTAACATTCTGGTGGTGTCACACTCAGTCAGTCCACTCTCCTATGTGTGCCCTCTGGTTCTCCCGTACAGGACCATGTGTTGGGACACTGACCCAGCTCCCGCAGGTTGCAATAGGCGCCCCACTCCGGAGCACTGTTCCTGTGACGCCTCTTGGATTTCACCTGAAACAAACACAGACTCAGCTCTGAATTCACATCTCTAAACAAGGAAGTGTCAACACCCTGATTACATTCTCCGAAACACCGACTCATATGGTATACTGTAAGTTCTCTGTTTCACTTTTATAAGGTAATTGGCAAATAAGATACCTGGACAGAACTGGACATTAAGATTAAACTGATGCCTGGTTTATCACAGAGAGAGAACAGAGAGAGACCAGAGCTCTCATAGAGAGACCAAAGAGAGAGAACAGAAAGAACGAGACCATAGAGAGAGCAGTGGTCAGTAGGGGTGGGCAATATGGGCAAAAATAAATACCTCAATACTTTTTTCCCCAACTCCCGAAAACGATATTGTCACAATATCTTTAAAATCAATAATTTTTACACAAAATGATCTGCAATGTTTTGCTTGCCTATCTATCTATAAATAGAGATCGTGTAGACCGAAATTGCAGCATTTTATTTGTAAAGTGCTTCTCACATCTTTGAAAAACATGCACAAACATATATTAACATTACAAATCAAATTAAAGTAAAACAGGAAGAACACATCCAAATGTGACGAATGGGCATCTTGCCTGCTCTAATTGTAATATGTATTGGAGATGTGAATTTTTTTGTATCTACGATACATATCTCCCACCCCTAGTGGTCAGACCGGTTTGGGAGCAAAGCGGAATAGAGAGTATTTTACCATACTCCATTTTCTTATGAGTACATGCAGACAGTGGTTACCTTGCTGGGCTTCTTCTTTGGTTTGGAGTAGAAGGCGGCGTAGGTGCAGGGGCCCAAGGTGTGGTAGCTCGGGTTGGAGAAACAACCTCCCCCGCCTCCAACGACCACCGAGCTGTTCCTGGGAGAAGAGTCTGGAGAGGGCAGCACTCCTATGCACTGAAGACCTGACATGCACATCCAGTCAGCTGCGTGTGTGTGTGTGCGCGTGTGTGCACATGCGTGCATGCATGTAGGTCTCAGTTGAGCTGGTAACAGGTGATGGAAGAAAAAGCACTCAAAACACTTTTGAAAAACCATTAGCAGAAATACAAATACAAAACTTCTGTGAGTGCCCTGCCATGCTTCCCCTCGGACCTCTAATTGCCCCACCAGCTTTCCTTTGGTCCTCTGTGTGTGCTCTCACCGGACAGGGAGTAGTCGGTAGTCCCCATGTGGAGGGCTGGGTTGTAGGCGACACTGGGGGCCTGCTGGGCCTTCTCCCTTTGCCTGTAGCGGAACCAAAGCACCAGGCCAGACATGGAGAGGATGAGGAGCAATAGAAACACAATCCCCAACACAGCTCCAACAGAATGCTGCTCCGAGGCCAGGGCTGGGCTGATCTTAGTGTAAGGGTTCAAATCCTCCATCATCAGGGCCGCTGCAGGCCCAGGGCCGAAAAAGAAGAGGAGAAAGTGTCAAATATGGGAGACTGTAATAGACACAGGTGCCAGGGGTGAGCTAAATAAACAAATCTGCTGTTCCATGGAGTGATGCTAGGACCTCTGAACCAAGACCCTTATGACTTACGGGCTGCACTCTCCCAACCTGGATCTACAGCCTCAGAATGTTAATCAGCCTTTATTAACATTTCTGGATAGTGGTCATCCCTCTCCCAATGAACCAATGGCTCCTATAGGTTTGTTATTATTTCATTTCCTGCTTCCAAACTGATTGATTTTCTGATCTGTTGTTGGTGAATACACAACTTTTTAAAGTCCTCCGAGACGACTGCTATTGTGATTTAGGGCGATCCACAAATACATTCCACTAACAAAATATTTACAATTCTCTTTTATTAAGCCATTATATAATCACCTCCCCCCCCTGGACTACCACCTTAACGTGGTGGGGGAGTTTGAGTACTCGGATGATCCTGGGAGTTATGCTGTCTGGGGCTTCATGCCCCTGGTAGGGTCTCCCATGGGAGACAGGTCTCGGGTGACAAGTCAGACGAAGTGCAGTCAGAAGCCAACCATGGACAGCACTAGAACAAAAGCAGTGACGTCGCCCGGCATGGCGCAGCCGGGGCCCCACCCTGGAGCCAGGCCTGGGGTCGGGGCCCGAAAGCGAGCGCCTGGTGGCCGGGCCTTAGCCCACGGGGCCCGGCTGGGCTCAGCCCGAAGGGATGACGTGGGCAGTCCCTCATGTGGAACCACCACCTGCAGAGGGGTCCGTGGTGGCTCGGTGCAGAGAGGACTGGGCAGCAGTCGAAGGCGAAGACCTCGGCGACCCAGTCCGCACACCCAACATCTGGCTCTTGGGACGTGGAACGTCACCTCACTGGGGGGAAAGGAGCCCAAGCTCGTGGGGGAGGTCGAGAGATACCGACTAGAGATAGTCGGCCTCACCTCCACACACAGCTTGGGCTCTGGAACCCAACTCCTTGAGAGAGGTTGGACGCTCCACTTTTCTGGTGTTCTAGCGGGGAGAGGCGGCGAGCGGGGGTGGCCATACTCATTGCCCCCCATCTCAGCCACCACATGTTGGAGTTCTCCCCGGTGAATGAGAGGGTCGCGTCCCTCCGCCTTCGGGTGGGGGACAAGTCTCTCACTGTTGTGACGGCCTACGGGCCTAACAGCAGTGCAGAGTACTCGGCCTTCTTGGAGTCCTTGGGAGGGGTACTGGACGGTGCACCGACCAGGGACTCCGTTATTCTCCTGGGGGACTTTAACGCCCATGTGGGAAATGTCAGTGACACTTGGAGAGGGGTGATCGGGAAGAATGGCCCCGCTGATCTGAACCCGAGCGGTGTTCAGTTGTTGGACTTCTGTGCTAGTCACAGTTTGTCCATCAGAAACACCATGTTTGAGCACAAGGGTGTCCACCAGTGCACGTGGCACCAGGACACCCTAGGCCGGAGGTCGATGATTGACTTTGTTGTCGTATCATCTGACCTTTGACTGCGTGTCTCGGACACTCGAGTGAAGAGCGGGGCGGAGCTGTCAACCGATCACCACCTGGTAGTGAGTTGGATCCGCTGGCAGGGGAAGAAGTCGGTCAGACCTGGCAGACCCAAGCGTGTAGTGAGGGTCTGCTGGGAACGTCTCGCTGAGCCCCCTGTCAGACGGACTTTCAACTCACACCTCCGGGAGAGCGTCTCCCAGGTCCCGGCGGAGGAGGGGTATATTGAGTCTGAGTGGACCATGTTCTCTTCCTCTATCGCCGAAGCGGCGGCTCATAGCTGTGGTCGCAAGGTCTCTGGTGCTGGTCCCGGGGGCAACCCCCGAACCCGGTGGTGGACACCGGCAGTAAGGGATGCCGTCAGGCTGAAGAAGGAGTCCTATCGAGCCATGATGGTTTGGGGGACTCCTGAGGCAGCTGTCCAGTACCGACTGGCCAAGCGGTAGTGGCTGTTGCAGAGGCAAAAACCCGGGGCTGGGAGGAGTTTGGAGAGTCCATGGAGCATGACTATCGGTCGGCCTCGAAGAGATTCTGGCAAACCGTCCGGCGCCTCAGGAGGGGGAAGCAGTTCTTTGCCAACACCGTGTATGGTGCGGGTGGAGAGCTGCTGACTGCGACTGGGGATATTGTCGGGCGGGGGAAGGAATACTTTGAGGTTCTCCTCAATCCCCCCGTCACGTCCTCCGCCCCGGAGGCAGAGGCTGAGGATGTTGGGGCGGATACTTGCATCTCCCTGGCAGAGGTCACCAAGGTGGTTGGCAGCCTCCTTGGTAGCAAGGCGCCGGGAGTGGATGAGATCCGTCCTGACTATCTAAAGTCTCTGGATGTTGTAGGACTGTCTTGGCTGACACGTCTCTGCAACATCGCGTGGTGATCGGGGACGGTGCCAATGGGGTGGCAGACCGGGGTGGTGGTCCCTCTCTACAAGAAGGGGGGACCAATGAGATGATCATTGACTCCCACAGGAGCCCTTCCCATCAATCGGTCACACTAAATGGACAGGACATTGAAGTGGTACAGTCATACAAAAACCTTGGAGTCCACCTTGACCACAGACTGGACTGGTCAGCTCAGGCCAATGCTGTCTAAAAGAAAGATCCGAGCAGATTCTTCTTCCTGAGAAGACTGAGGTCCTTTAATGTGAGCAGTTAGATGATGCACATATTTTACCAGTCTGCTGTAGCTAGTGCCATGTTCTTTGGGGTCGTATGTTCGGGCAGCAGTCTGACCTTGAGAGACAGTAACCACCGCGACAGGCTGATCAGGAAATATGTCTTTGTAATAGGGAGAACTGTGGACTCTGTGGGAGCTGTGATGGAGAGGATGTAGGATGGCTTATATAACGTTTTAAGAGATCCTTTGGTTGTCAGACTGTACAACAGACCTGGAGGACTTTACTGCTGCTGCACACCTAAATTTCTCCTACGGGGGATCATTAAAGTAACTATCTATCTATCTGGTATCTTGCTGGTCACTCTCTGATCCCTCTCTGGTCTCTCTCTCTAGTCTCTCTGGTCTCACTCTAGTCAGTCTAGTATTTGGTAAAGTGGTAGTAGAGGTTGTGGGTGTGGTTCTCACCCTGATCACAGCGGATCCCTTTGAAGCCTATGCTGCAGTAGCAAGTCCCAGTCACGTAGTCACAGGTGGCGTTGTTCATGCACTCGCAGAGCTGCTGACAGCCGTAACCAAACGTCCCGGGAGGACATTCTGAGGACAACACATGGACGGAACCAGATTGAGACCGGATCCAGAACACATGGAACCATACTGAGACTGGATCTTAAGGAACCAGGCTCATCGCTTCGCTGCATTTTTCATACACAGTGGAGATAAACTACAGCCTCTTTGGCTGGTTCCATGTGGCTCTCCGGCTTTCACATGACAAGCGTCAAAAAACGGCAGCGGCGCTGCCATCAGTGTTTATTTCTAGTTCGAAATTCTAATTTTGTTTTAGTCTTAGTCAACAAAAATATACTTATTTTCTGAAACATGACGGGACATTTTTGTACAAATATGTACAGTATTATTCCTTGTAGCCTACGATGACAAACGTGACATGAGTAGCTTCATTACTTTACTTTACTTTACTTTATTGTTCGTGTCATGTGAATGTTACACCGGTGACGTGCAGTCAGGGGAGGCAGGCGAGGCAGAGCCTCACCTGCCATCATTGAAAAAATAATTATTATTTTAGTCAAAATATATAATTGTTTTCCACTCTCTTATGCTTATAAAGTATTTTCGGACTGTTTCCAAACAGTTTTGATAATTTCTGTAGTCAAAATTTCTGAAATCCTATTAATCCTATTCAAAGAGACGAAGTGAGGCAGTAATGTATTGTTTAGTAATGTATTGCACGTATGTGCATACTATTTATAATTATTTGAAGTCTTTTGATCGGAGAAGAATACACAAGGAAAAAGCTTGGCGTGAGGCAGGCAGTGTCTGTGCCTCACCGCTAGGGGTGATCGTGAGCATAAAGTTCATATCCGAGATGCTAACACAGATGCTATATATTTTGCTAACCAACAATTGATTTGTTTCTCAACTGGACTTTCAATCAAAGCAAGAAGTAATATAGACAAGACCACCGCTGGACTGACGAGGTTAGTCCGGCCGCAGAGGAGGTGTTTGTCAGTGTCTGTGTTTTATATTGAAAATTTACTAGAGCTGCATAAAAGTGCTTCCCCGAAAAAACACTGATTTACACACTGCTCAAGAGTCCTGCAACTTGTTTAATTCTTGTTTGTGTTCCTTGTGTTTATCTCTCCCCGTCTCTCCCTTTCTCTCTCTCCTTGGATCTCTTGCTCCTTGGGCCTCTCTCTCTCACGCTCTTTGCGTCACTCTCTCTCCTAGTGTCTCTCTCTTTCTTTCTCTCCCCGCATCTCTCGCTCCTTGCGTCTCTCTCTCCCTCCCTCCTCCCGTCTCTCGCACCTGTGCTTCGCAAAGACTTGGTTTGATGCGGAGCGGAGAGCCAGCATCTAGAGCTGTTGTGGGATTTTTAATAATATGCTGGTTCTCTTATCTTTACAGTATATAATGTGTGTGGACGTTTTTGCATTGACGATTTAATGCTAATTTATTAGAATTATGATGGTAAATCTGACTGTTAAAGTCAGTGCCTCCCCAATCACAAACCTCACCGCACGTCTTGTTTAATGTAATATACATTAGCGAAATAAAACAAAATACAGTCTAAGCAAAGAAATGTTATAATGTTATACATTGTTTTTGCCCAGATGATGTCGTTAGAGCAAATGAATAATGCTGCGACCCCTCTTCACAGGGCTTCATAAAACCATCTTTTGTTTTCTTCTTTGTCAAACGTAAAAAGGGCCCACAGATCTTCTCTTCTCTTTCTCCCAGTCGTGGACATGTTCTAGTTCTTTTCATCATCAATGGATATTTTACAAGCTTACGAGAGTGGTGTTGTGGTTAGCGTTAGCAATAGCTTCTGTTGACAGCTGGCGCCACCGGTGCTTACTAAGACAAGCCCTCATTGGTCCTCCTCGCATATACTGCGACCAATTGATTGGTTGTTTTCTCATTTCCCATATCTATCCCTTCTTCTGATTGTATTTCGTCATGGACTATTTTTTGTCCCGTCTTTTATTCGTGGACTAAAATGTCTTCGTCCCCTAAAATATATTTGTGACAAAAAATATCACGATTATATTTTGTCAACGAAATTAACACTGCCATTCATTCCCTACGGAGCCGGGCATAGTAGAATACAAAAATAAAAAAAAAGTTGAGAAAAAAAAAAACCAAGTAGAGTAAAAAAAAATAGGTATCTCGAGATACCTATTGTTTTGGAGACGTATCTCGAGATACCTCTCCGAAACAGACCCGTGGAAGTAGCTAGCGGTGCTTCCGGCTAATGCTGTCAACAAACCATGGGCAACCAACACACGTCCGTGCGAAGGTTTATGTAAATTGGCGTGACATAAGGACATAAAAATAGCCAAACACAAGTTTTATTCAAGACTAAACTTGTGAAGATATTTGAAGACAATTTTGATGAATACTTTGCTGCCTTTTTCCCCCGAGCCACGGCCGTGAATGCGTGGAACTCATGTTAGCTTGAACCACTCACCTTGGACCCGGAGCGAACACGTCACGTGTCTATGGTACGTACCTGCATTATGCTTTACTCTTGAGTTATGAACACGACTGTTATGATACAATACAGGCGTTATATTACATACACGTTGCCAAGGACACAACAACAGCAGACAGTGGGAGTCCATGGTGAAAGTCTTGAGCGGGGCTTGAACCCTGTATGAAATTACAGAATCGGCTAAGGCTTATTATAAAGCACTTTTCGTACAATAATCTGTTAAATATAGTGGCCCGCTGCAGTGTGTGCGTGGAGCCACAACCACACCTCACGTACTTATGTAGGGAAGACCAGGTCTGGTCAGACCAGCATCCCCTTCAGTTCAGCACAAAGTTGCCTATTGCTGAGAAAGGTTGGTTTTGGGGAAATATGACCATTATTATCTTAGATAATTATTGGTCCATGTGTTTTATTTTATAATGCCATATGACTGAATAAAACCATGTGTACAATGTATAAATATACTCTAATTAGTCTATATTAAATATGCATAGACAAAATCCACTTTGAATATTCTGTTTTTTCAGTGCAATTCACCAAATATATTCCTCAATCTACTTTAATTCACCATCTATAAAAGACTCATTTGAATCATGATCAGGTGAATATTGAACTGAATCATAGTTGGTTGAAGCTGGAGTAACTTAAATAAATGGGATCAGCAGGTGTATACAGGAGGTCTATAGGAGGTGTATACAGTAGGTGTGTACAGCAGTTGTATACAGGAGGTGTATCCAAATGTGAATGGTTTTCAACAGAGATCTCTCGCTCAAAGTGTTCCACGTGCCGCTCAGGGGGTTTGTTTTTGCCCTGACCCACCCAAAATTAGAGGGAACATTGCTTAGGATCAATATTTTCACGTTTTAATCAAGCTTAGGTCATGAATTGTTAGAACAGAGTGGGCTCTCCATGTCGCATGTTCTGAAGACATGCAGCAGTAACAGGAGCAGCAGCAGCAGGGCGTCTGCCTCTCCTTCGTAGAGAAGAACCTGGAAATAAATATAAAAAAATCAAACATGTTGCTTTTAATATGATTTTGTTATTTTTATCTGAAGTGTAAAGCTATGGAAACCCGTTTCCGCCATGTAAAAAAAAAAAAAAAGCCCACAGAAAGTTGAAATGCGCGTTGGAGATTTATAACCTATGGGTGTGGTTAGCTACACCCTAATCCTGATACTAACTCATAAACAATCTAAGGTCTGTTTGATGTAGAAGGGAGCAGGTCTAACAACCCTGCTGAGGCTAACGACCCTAACTCATTAGCATGTCACTGACCTTGTCCCAAGTTAGGGCGTTGTTTTTAGGATGTCGTCACAGATGCGAGGCAAAACAAATCTTAACCCTCCTCCTCTGTTAAGAGAAGGTTTTTGTTTCCTCACAAAAATGGCTTCTTTCACCCCTCTCTCAAACCAATTCTTCTCCCGAGCCAGAATTTTAACCTCGGTGTCATCCACCGTGTGATTGGAGGCCTTGAGGTGGAGATGAACAGCCGACTGTGGCCCACTAGAGTTTTCTCTACAATGTTGGTAAAGTCGTTTCTGTAGAGTTTGTTTAGTTTCTCCAATATAGTGGTCAGTGCACTCCTCTTCACTACATTTAATTGAATACACCACATTGCTCTGTTTGTGTCTGGGTGTTTTTTCTGTCTTAACCTGTCTTAACGTGTTGAAAGGTTTGAAATACATAGGGATTTTGTGTTGCCTAAAGATTCTTTGTAGTTTCTCTGAAACTCCCGCCACATACGGTAAGGACACCCCTCTCCTCCTACTTTCTTCTGTCTGTTGGACTGTGTCTCTGGCCTTTCTCGTCCTTTGGGCTTTATTAAAAGACCACTTGGGGTAGCCACATCTGGAAAGTGCTCTCTGAACATGTTTGGTTTCTCTGTTCTTTCCTTCCGAGCTTGTGGGGACCTGGTGGGCTCGGTGTTGAAGCGTTCTAATGACCCCGAGTTTGTGTTGTAGCGGATGATTTGAATCAAAGGCCAAGTACTGGTCAGTGTGAGTGGACTTTCTGAAGACCTCAGTCTCTAATTGTCCGTTCTCAAGGATGATGACCTGTGAGATTTCATAACACTTTGAAGCAACTTTTGTTAAACTCATCATTCTATCAATGTGCAGAAGCCTGTACTTTTCCCTTGTTTTGTCTATCTGAAGGCCAAGCTACATGGCACCGTGGAAGCTGCTGATTGGAGGTCTCCATGCCTCCGCTCTGTATAATACACTTGCATTCTGTTGTTTGTGTTGTTCGTGCTGTCTCTACCATCGACAATAAAACATGTCTTCTTTCTGAATTTAAGACGCGATCCCAGACTATGTCATCTTCTTCAGGTGGTGGAAGGATGCAGGCCTTGTCTGTAACATCTACAGAACAGAAGACTTTTTTTTTACACAAAAATGTATTTTTTTTAAGCCAAAACTGAGAAACCTCAAGAGAAACCATGCATCTGGACCAGCACACTTGGACAATCTGCACAGCCCCTGATTCCAGTCAGACCTGCTGTGAGCTGCTGAGACATGGACAATACCATCGTCCTCTTT